CACTGCACTTTGAGCTTCACAATGTACTCTTTGAATTGCTCCAGTTGAGTAGATAATGGTGTCACTGACTGTAGAAACAACAAATATTATTACTTTGTATTTATGAATATTAAAAAAAATTAAAAATTAAAAATTGTGTGAATATAAATATGTATGTATATACCGCTAATTGAGGTGTTTGGGGGTCAAATCCAGACCCCCCTGAAGCAAAGCTGACACCTGTTAGAAGATCTTGAGGCTTCAAGTTTGGGTCAAGATAGGCTGGTATTAACTCTTTTATTCCTAATTCTTCAGCTGCAATATTAATGCAATTTTCAATACTAACTTGTGAATAATATCAAACAGTTGGAATATCATATTTTTTCGAAATCTTTTCGATTATTTTTTTTATAAAAATAATCGATAGAATTTTCAAGTTATGGGCCCGAATGAAGACGGGCCCGGTTTTGCCATTAAATGTGCTGATTAAGGTTTAATGACACTCCTATTAAACCTTTTATTATTGTTTAATAAAAAAAGTTGTATATGCTTAATGAAGAAATAAATTGACAAAACAAACTTCCATCAGCTACTAATACTCAAATCTCATATATATATATATATATATATATATATATATATATATATATATATATATATATATATATATATATATATATATATATATATAGAGAGAGAGAGAGAGAGAGAGAGAGAGAGAGAGAGAGAAGAAGAATAAGAAGAATATATATATGACAAAAACAACTGGATTTATGCTGCAAAAGTCAATGACAACGTAGCAACTAATAAAAGTTTCTCACCATCATAAATTTCAAAAGTCAGCTTCATAAATCCATATATTATATATATTATATATAGTATGTGTACATACAGACACACACACAGATAGAAAAGCACAAGAACTTCTGATATACACATGTTCGAAATTTCTGAACAAGAAAGATTTTAAGAACATAATTAACGTTGAACTAAACAATTAATTACACACAAATACACATATATATACTAGTGTAGTGTGTGTGTGTGTGTATATATAGATATATGTATTTATCATACCAATCAAATCCGGAGGCGTCTTGCCATTGCCGAACCTCCCGGTGGGGATTCCATCTCGGAAATCTTTGCCGTAAGGTGGAAAGTTACACCTAACGAGGGTGCTGATTCCATTGTTATTACCCTGATCGACTATCGAATCCCCGAACGCGAAAATTGCCGGAACCGTCGTGTTTGGAGGCAGATTCACTAGTCCATTACAACAACCTATGCACAACAAAACAAAAACACACAAATGCCAAAACACCATCGAATTTTTCGCACAACAAAAGATCTTCTTCATACTTATTACGAAAAAGCCAAGAGAGGAGGGAGTTTAAGGGTTCTTGATTTTTTCAGACTGAGATTTATGTCTATATATATAATTGAATTTGTAGTGAGTATTTAATTTGGTTATGTGGTTTGTATATATGTAGATTATGTATGTATAAGTGTGTGTTGGCATGCTAATCACTGGTTAAGGAAGGTAGGTGCGTTATTTAATACAGATTAGTGACAATTGCCATCAGACTAGCCATGCATACCCAAAAAAAAAAAGGTTATTTGGAAGTCATGGATTCCTCGAGAAATATAAATAAAGTTGTTTTTTCTTAAATTGGTATATAATTAACTCATTTCATATATATTAATTTCTCGACACACGTCGGATATTATTGGGTCGTCTTCGTGATATGATCTCCAAATCAAATGATAGAATTGATCATTGTGTTTCACTATTTTTTTTTCTTCGAGAAATTGAATATTATTAGTAGTTTTAAGAAGTATTTTTTTTTTTAATTTAATCTAAATTTATGAAGAGAAGTAGTAATTAAGAGGCTAAAGTGAGACAAATTAATTGAATATACATTCTCAACTTAATCCCTCTTTCTAGATCTTGTTGGTAAGGTTGGTTCAGAAGAATGATTTCAATTTTGCAGAAATGTCAACTAGTTAATTGATGTTTTTTTTATTTAAGATAATTAATTAAATTAAGTAAAGCAATTTTGTATATGTAGACGCAGATTATTGATTTACTAAAAGAAAAAAAACAGTTTGGTAAACTACCACACTCATAGGATCAGTGTATTGATTAAATATATTTATTATTCATTCAGTTTTTAATCATTACAACTTTGGAAGGAAGAGGATATATTCAATCAACGTGTTCATAAACAATTGTATCAAGTCTATCTTGCACATATATGTTATTTAATAATTAAAATTGAGTCAATTTTCAAAATTAATTATTGAATTAGTGATTGACATGCACGAGTGAGTGTATCCCTTTTTTTTTATTATTATTATTATTATTATTATTATTATTATTATTATTATTATTATTATTATTATTATTATTATCATCATCATCATCATCATCATCATCATCATCATCATCATCATCATTATTATTATTATTATTATTATTATTATTATTATTATTATTATTATTATTATTACTACTACGTATGAGTGTATCAATTGGCCTCAGCTACATCAAAAGATTAAAAGTTATAATTAATGAGTTGAATGTTGGATGTTACTCAAAAGTGGTATTGTTGAGATGTCACATGCCATAATGCTTTGTTTCATTATTTGTTTTAAAATTAAATGTTTATGCCAAATAATGTTAATTAAGCTAAGAAATAGTAGTGCATAATTACGAATTCTAATCGTAGGTTTAACTTCAATTTAATAAGTTAACATGCACTAAAAAAAAAGTTAATACTTAATACCTTGCCCTAGCTTGTATAGAGTTACAAGTACTCTGTAAAGTTATAAATTGTAATTAATTATATTGTATTTCTAGCACAATATTATTATCAATGTAATGTATATTAAATGGAAAAAGTGTCAATCAAAGGACCACGTGTACAGAACTTAGCTGTTTGGTGAACCATAGTCTAACATTAATTATGGGCCATTGCGACAAAAAAATAGTTAACAGGTTTTCATTAAGTTGATTGAGAGAAAGAAACGTTATTTTCATTAACTGGGCCAACAAAATTAAATAAATAGGTATCAAAGTTTTAATTAAGTTGAGAGATGGGTCACGAGAACAAGTCCACTAACAAATGCTACACTTCAACTACTTTCTAACCAGGCCAATAATTAAAGTGCCACAGCAAAAATAATTTCGGATTTTCTACAGCATTGAAAAATAGTTATTTCTTTAAAAAAAAAAAAAAAAAAGAAGGATGCATGATTACAATTTATTCATGAAGAATACGAACACAATTCCCCCAAATTATAAGACAAAGTGCACTGTAATCAATTTATCTACCAAGGGGGGAGGGGATTATTATCACAGGATAAAAGAAGTAAAAGATTCCTTACCGTCAAAAGATTCCACTAAAAAACGAGACCAAAAAACGGGCTATGCCTAGATTTTAGAAGAAACTCCCACAGCATTTTCCATTCGAGAGTACCAATCACCTATACGTGTGTGCTCCACCATGTCTTTACCGGACCTGAGGTAGCGTATAGGTCTTAAAACACCATACACCGCCAGGTCAGCTAAGTTAGGCTTGCCCCCGCCTGATGCAAAAAACGTAGCGTAAGAGAAATTAGCCGTTCGTATTTTTGATGTTAATAATGTATATGATATAATAGATATAGAAAAGAAAAGGTGGAGCTAAACCTAGAAAATCTTGGCCCTTGAGAGCATCTACCCATGTCTCTGCAGCTTCGTACAAAGAAGCACGTGCATCGGTGATGTTATATTTTTTCTTCAGTCTCTTTGAAACAAAATACATTGCAGCAGCTCCAGCATATTTTGCTGTTATTCTCTCGGTGAAGCTGAAGTTACCTGCATTTCATCCGAAGCCAGAAACTAATCTTAAGGCAGATGAGAGAGCAAGCGAAAGAAACGGATTTTTTCTTTCTTTTAATTGATAGAATATAATCTGTATTTAGAAAAATCCGCAGTACTGGAAATTTAATTGTTAATTCCAGCTATGTTACTGATACAAAAAAAAAATCTCACCATGACTAGTGATGTAGTCAAATGACTCGAGAGCTTCGGAGGGACTTCGATAAATATTAGGTGACAAAATATGCACCAAATGATTGTCCACCCAACTGCAATGACGGCAGTTTATTAACATTCACAATGCACGTAAAAACTAAATGCTCGTTCACAGTAACGTAAATTACGATGCAAAATATATAGAGGTGCCTGACAACATTATCCTTCAAATATTGAAAATGGTAATGAAAGGCAATACTAATTGGAAAAGATTCAACATACCCGCGCCACTTCTTCTCTTCACCATCTTGCCCAACAGAATCTTTGGACACCTCGGGGTGAATCTTTTTGTCCAACTTGTCTATTATATCTACATAGAGAAGGACATAGATTTAAAACAAATAGTTTAGTTGACTTAGCTGCATAGAAGAAATAAATATAGTTTCAAAATGATTCTAAAAGACCTAAATGTCAGGGCATTCTGAAAAATTAGATTATTGTCCGTTCTACATATTCAGTACCTGATGAGTCAACCATCTGTTCGCCATCAACCATCAAAATCGGAACTTTCTGGTATTCAGAAAATTTGATTTCCTTTTTGTTCATAGGGTTGACCTCCACAATTTTGTATGGTATATCATAGTAGTCCAGAAACGCTGGAAAAGTAAGATTCATAATTACAAAGAGTTCATTTTCAGGAACGTTACCATGATCAAATGTTTGAATACTACAGGGTATGGTTACTAACAAGACAACATAATATTAAGAGAATGATTTCTTGGCATATCATTCTTGAAAAACCATGTCTTCAAAAAGTGAGATAAAAATGTATATAGAGAGGAGAATGGTTTCGAGAATGTGTTAAAGCACATAAGAGTGTGATGTACAGTCAAATTAAAATGCTGTTTTTTTCTGAAAAGGAATGCAAAGGTACTTCAATGTATTACGTACTATACGTCTATACACAACGTTTTATGCTATTCTATCCAAACATCAAATTCTATGTCAATTGGTACATGTCACTGATCACCCCTTTTACTTGCACATATGGATTAAATACATATTATCTTTGAAAATGTCTAGGGTACATGTGCACTAACAGCTGCTCCAGAAAAGAAAAGCGTCGAACCTTGTTTTTGTATTAGATGCTCATACATATTTATACAACAGAATAAAGCAAGATAATCTCAAACTTATAAGTTTTAACATGATCTGTATACGAAAGATAAATGTTGAATAGCTAAGCTCCGAACACAATCCTGTTAAATCAAAGATTATTAGTTTACCATACTTCTTAACTCTCAAAGCAAATCAATCATAAGAATTAACTGTTTCGATCCTGCTTCCATTTTAGCAATTTCTGATGCACACAGAGTACAACACATTTAACTTTAACTTTGCACAGAAATTTCCCCAATATTTGATTTAAACTTGAATTTAGATAAATCAAGTCCCATACATATTCCAGCCAAAAATTGAACTATATATCAATACCTTTGACTTTGTTACAGAAAGGGCAAGCTTCATATTGATAAAGAACGACGTCCTTCGGCCGAAATTTTGACTGGACCGGCTCCTTTGCGTTGACCTCTTCGACGAGCGTTGTGGCGGCCACCGAGAAAAACATCGTCCCAGCGACAGCGCGAGCAACCTGATCAGCGGCGATCCTGTTGTTCGAAAACCAATGAGATCTGGATTCGCAGCTGCTGTTGCTGTTCGTGCTGAAGAGAGCAGCCTGGAAGAGCCGGTGGTGGTGCTGCGCGTGATTTCCGGCAGCTGAAGGCGCGACGGCGACGCCACCAACGGCGCGGCTAATCGCGGCGAGTCCGCTTGCGCTAACCCTTCTCATCTGTAGAACGATCTGGTGATTTTCGTGAATGAGAATCTGGAAAGTTGAAAAGGGGAAAATCGCAGTTATTGATTTTGTGTGGTTTATGCGAGGGTTTTAGAAGCTGTACACGTGAGCTCAAATGTTTTTTTCGCCGACTCTGATGACTCGGCTCGAGCCGATTCTGTACAGAGCCGACTAACATGTGGGCTTCTAGGCCCATACAGTCCCATTCGTCTACACACTATCTCATTGGGCTTAGAAATAAAAATACACACAACTTACATTGTTGAAATTAAGTTAGACCAAATAAAAGTCCATGCTTTTTATTATTACAGGGAACTGAAAATATATTTACCATAGAACCTCGATAAATTAATAACTTCGCTAAAATAATAACTTTTTTCGGTCCCGATTCGATAATAACATACCAAATTATTAGTTCGATAATTTAATATTTTGCTACAATCAATAGAATTTTGTTAGTTCCGTCTTTATTAATTTATAGAGGTTTCACTGGAGTATAATTTGATATTGTACGGAATTGATTTTTTTTATCTACCCTATGACCAATCAAAATCCAACATGAATTAATTTGTTTGTCAAAAAAATTAATTATAAATTGAAACGTGAAACTTGCCACTTGCTTAACTAGATCCCCAAAATTCACAATGCTCCGACACGTAATAAGTTTATAAACGGAGGACATAATAATAAATAAAAACAAAACAAAGGGCTAAACTGCAAAAAACGACGATCGCGTTGATTCCACGAGGACCACGACTATATAGTCCAACCCATACCCTGGGAACTCAGGAGTCTACTCTCTGTTAGCGAAATTCAGCAGCTGTGATTAATCATTGTATCGAGATTCCTTATTCATCAAACTTTACTAGGTTTCCTGTTATTCCTTTTGAACAAGACTTTGTGATTTGAAGACTTTGTGATTTGAAGACATGTCTCGTTGCTTTCCGTTCCCTCCGCCGGGGTATGAACTGACCGGAGCAAAGATTGGGGCTTTTATCGATTCCGATAAGGTTTGTTCAACAGAGCGCCTTGATTTGAAATTTTGGTATATGCGAATTGTAGCATACGCTTGTGAATTTCTGGGTTTTGTACGTGTTCATGGACTTCTAATTTAAAAAAAAAAACCCTAATTCTTGGAGCTCCAAAAGGAATTTCTTTAATATTAATGGTATGACAGATTTTTACTAATTAGACATTGACTAAACACAGATCACGCCAAGTAAATCATGTGAGATAATCAAATAGATTTTGGGGATATGGAATTATTGAAAAGGGTGTAAGATTAACCTGGATTTAGTTAGAACTTACGAAGTTTTTGTGATCCGTTGTTGTCTAATTAAAAAGAGTCGTTATCGAAATCTACTCGTCTGCAATCATGCACACTGAGTTTGAGGTGTTGAACCGAAATAAGGTCGACAACTAGATAGGAGTGCAATTTTCGGAATTGGGATGTTCACGGTGTACTATGGTTATGAATTTTGGTCGAAAATTGGAACGCTAGCAGTTGAAGTATTTTAAATAAATCTTTATCTATGTTATATGACTATTTGAAGAAATTAGTTGTGCTTGCTCTTGATCGCCTCGATTCTAAAATTATTTTATGTTGGTTTCTAAAAGGAAAAACAATGGAAGAAGGAGAAGAGAAGAGAGAAGAAAGAGAAACGGAAGGATAAGAGAAGAGAAGCCGAAATTCAGCCGTTAGAGCGAAGCGGCCTCACGGAAGAACATTCACATCCCACCTCGTCTTCAGACAGCACAAATAACAGCCACAAGACGAAGAAGCATTATACTCATTCACAAGGTATCTTTAATTCGCTTCCACGATCACTACCGCGATCTTTTTTTCGTCACGTTTGCTTATCATTGCTAACATTGGTTGTGGAACAGGTAAAGTTATCTTGATAAGACTGCCCTCAAACGAGAAAAACGAGCTTCATTCTGTAGCTAAAGAACAATACCTCTGCTCAATATCTGCAGTTGGAGTAGAGAACTCGGCGCAAACATTGGAGTTGCGATATAAGAATTTACTTGAGGGTTGTCTTCCGTCATTGACTCAGTACGCGCGTATGGATACAGAGGATCTTGACTGGCTAATGCAGGGGAAAAATGAAGACGTGCGGACCAGGAAAAGGCAGAGATTCGAACGCGGTGATTGTACGAGTTTCTCGAAAAGATCGGAATTGTGGCCTCGTGCGGAGTACTTGCATGAAATTGGTATCTATGCATTGCCTTTCACAGTTCCTTATTGAGTTTGTGCTGATGGTCAAATATATAGCACAGTAGTAATATGTTGTTTCTGATAAAAAAAAAAAATCGGAATTGCCTCTCATAGGTTTTGTATGTTGAGATCAAAGTTCATTAGATTGTTGTGTATGTAGTAACATGAATTGTCAGCCAATGAGTTCAATTGTTCATAAATACAGTTGTGATATAGTTTCATACATATTGTTCTACTGCTGCATATTTAGAATATTGGGTAAATTACGGCTATCCTTTGAGGTAAAGTCAAATTACGATAAAATCTTCTCTAGAATATGTGGTGTCAACTTAGTAGAATCTTTTAAATTATGTGGAATATTCTCTAGTTTGTACACGCTTTACCCCATTGCAGATTCGTAATTGACGAATGATTATAATTACCAAAATAAGAAGAGGGTTTTAGTAATTTGACATTATATCAGGATGACCGTAATTTATAATTACCAAAATAAGAAGGGGGTTTTAGTAATTTGACATTATATCAGGGTGACCGTAATTTACACTTACAATATTTAGAAAGAATGAAGTTCTTGAATTGGTCAACAAACACTACGCATTCCCCACACACACACAAAAAAAAAAAAAAAAAAAAAAAAGTTTGAAAATTTTATCCATGATTACTCATGGATAAATTGTCTGAAATAAGGCCCAATTATTGCAGATCAAAGTACCATGAAATAATGGGCCATTTTTATATTTAAAATTGATTACTGGGCTGTTAATTGGCCCAGTTACATATTTAAATTCTTAAACCAGCATCCCCCGTTTCTTCCCCCTTCGATAAACCCTAGCCCTAAAATCCCTTCTTCCTTCAACATTAAACTGGCAAATTTCCCCAATTGTTGTTAAGAAAACTAGTGGCTGAGTTGGTAAATATGACAGAGTACAGTCGTCAGCGTGACTTCATGTTCTGCGACATGTGCGGGACGCTAATGTCATTCAGTGATCCAATGTTTGCCCGTTGCCCGCTCTGCAAATTCCAGAAGCGCTTAAAAGGTTTTATTTCTTCCTTAATTTCCAGTTACAGCCTTTCACACTGGTTATTTGGTATTACTGTACTTCAATTTCTGAGCTTGCCGCTGATTTTTCAGTAACGGATTATCGGAATTTTAGATATTTATTTGAATTTCATCGCATCTGCCTGTGTTTAATTGTTCAGAATGCTATAGTCTATAGTAGAAAGAGTTTGTTTTTATGTTTTTATTTCATAAATTGAGGAAATTATGCTGTAGCTATTTTTTTCCCGCAGATATGGCTGTTAAAGACATTCGATATACTATCAGTTCTGAGGTATGTTATTAATATGCAAATTCAAAAGTTCACGAAACATTTTCGTTGTTTTGATTACGAACACGTGACAAGGTACAATGATTATTGAAGATAGATATGTTTAAAAGCAGTTTGACCAGATTAATACTCCCGGAAAATCAACCTTCTTATTCTCATTCTCTTATTAACCTCTCCAAACTCTATCCTCACCAATGTATAAAAATTCGGGATATCTTTGGATACTAATAATCGATCTTCTCTGATGCTGATTTTTTATTTTATACGATCAATCGATTGACGATATGTGCATTGTAGGATCTGAGGAGGGAGCTGGGCGTGTCTGCTCTCGATGACATAGAAGAAGAAAGGGAACTAAAACAAATGGTAAGAACTATATAGATACTCAATTCCTCGTTTTTTGTTATATATACATATATATTTAATAGTTGTTTATTTGTAACATTTTCTTTGACCTGACAGGATCATAATGCAAAGTGCAAAGTATGTCAACATGTGGGCATGGCTTATGTTGCCAGACAGGTAAATCGACGAACTTGCCGTTTCTTGCACTTCCGATTTCGAGTTTCATATTTTCTGAACTAACCAGCTTCTTTTTTTGTGTGTTCTTCAGATTAGATCTGCTGATGAAGGGCAGACAATCTTTTATACATGCCCTATATGTGCGTACAGACAAACTGAGAACTCGTAGATTACTCTTTGCAAAATTGAGAATAACAAGTCTCGGTTTTGCCTCACATTGACACTCGAGAGTTGTTGTATAAGAAAAGAAAACACACTCCGTCTCAAAAACTGCTCAAGAAATGCCCTCCATGATTTACTTGGTCGTTTTCATTATAGGTTTGTGAATCGGAGTTGCCTAGTAATTATGTCTGATGTCTCAATTTCAAGTAACTAAATCATTGTCGGCTTGTTTTTCTGTTGAATCTTGGAATTAGTTATACATAAATTTTGGCTAATTTTGCTGGTTTAACGCGTTATTAGTACTTCCCATCTAGTTGGAGCAGAAACAGGAAAAACAAAACATCATAAACTTCTAGCTTTATTATGACATTACTGCAAAGCCCTTGTCACATACAGTACAATTTTGTACCACATTTGATCTGGAAATAACATATTTGACGGAGACAAACTCCTTTGTGCTCTTTATTTAGAACTCATGCTAACCGCCCCTTGTTAAGAAGTTGCCGGAATCTACTCCCGGGAAGCGGAGGCATTGCATCTAAGGCCTAATCGACTTTCGCCTCAATGAAAATGTTGGCAAAGGCAAGCTACTTGGTGGTGGCGAAGATATTGCAAGTCCCGCAAAACCTGGAATCATATTGTCCACCCGATCTTCGTCAACTGCTTTCTGACGGGCGGAACTGTTGCTAGTTACTGGTTTGTTATTCCCATATGGTGTATATATACCCTTTGGGACAATAGGTGATTTTTTGTCTTCTTTTCTGGGGATTTTGGTTGATTTCTTGTTGGTTAGCGGTGGATGGTCTTTGGTTCTACAACTGTTTCTAGTCGCTGGAGGAGAAGAAATGCCGCCTCGGCTGGAGGAGCTGTGGTGGGGATGGGTGGTGGGATGAGGGAGGAGCGGTGGTTGCTGGAGTGTATAGGAAAGAAGTGGTGGGGATTGTAGAATGCCCATTGATGGATTTTTTCTGAGTTGGGATTTTTTATGGGAAGAGAAATATGGCTGCTCTTCAGACCCATACATGTCTATATATATCTATATATATATATAGATGGGTTTCTTCCTCATTAGGTATTAGAACTTCGAAGACAGCTTTTCATGAAGCTCTCCTTTAAATAGAAGCAGACGCATCAGAGCTGCTATTATTTTATGTGAAATTTTTAGTCTCGGTTTGTTATATTTCTTATGTTAAATCCCTTGAAAAAACAAACATTAATATATTTTCACGGTAATTTACCGACAAGAGAAGGCGGTCGGCTGACGCAATAATTCAGAGTGTAGGAAGGGTGTCAAGGGTCTGGGGCGGCCACCGCCGATGCGATTGAGACCATTGGATTAATGCTATTTTTAGACATATGGCACTATGGCAATTGTTGACCGCTGGTGTTTGTTCTCGGGTTAATAGATTTGCCCTTGCCTATAAGGAATTGTCTAGTGCGCCTATAAATTATGAGTAATGATGATAAATATGTAAATATTATATTGAATAATTAAAATAAATTCAATTATTTTATTGGATCTCGGAATATTTAACAAAAGAAACTCTATCAAAAATATGATAAGTAGCTGAAACACTAGTTGATTTACAAAACATCAAAAAAAGTCCGATTATTTAATTAATGACCGATTATTTAATTAATGATTAATAATCTACATAATCCTTGTTCAAGAAAAAAAATAATTATAATTTACCTAATCAAACGAGGCATGTGATTGTAAGTAAATCAATACAAGGCCCAATTACTATAATGTTCCAAATAAGACATTGAAAATCAAAGGTAGAGACCAATATAAGGCCCAACTCAACAAACTTTGGGCCTCAAATATGCCTCTCTCATTTTCTTTTAAAAAATATTGATTAGACTGTGAGACAGCTGCACGACCGCCCCAATCAGCCGAAGCTAGCCGAAAACAATCCTCTATTGAATCAATGGCTTGATCCACTGAGTTTGTTAATCACAATCGTGTCGAGCAACCATTGTTCATTCACAAGTACTCAATGATAAAGTGGTACGAGCCTATAGAGCCGATCATGTTCAAGTAAGGTCGTAACGGGCCTCAAATGTAGGTAACTTAAATTCAGTAATTCAATTCCATCATATGCAATGTAGGTAACTCAAATATCAATAATTTGGATTATTCCTTTTTTTCATTCTATACAAACTTCTTCTCTCTATTTTTCATTCTTTAATTTGGATTTTTATTTTTCTTTTTCTTTTTCTGTGGCAAATTGGTAAATATGTCCCACATTGGTGTCTGCTGGATTTATTCCTTGTTTCTACATTGGTAATAAGAAAACAAAGAAGAGTTATTACTGATTTAGTCCGTGGGGCTCTTCCTCGCGTCCTCTAAGCTCTCTGTCGGATTCCGGTAGAAAAAAGACCTGCAACGCCGGGAGGTGTTCCCGGCGGGAAAGCTCCGACGATCAAGTCAGTATGATTTCAAAGCGAGTTTTTAGAAAGTACGTAAAAGTGTGTGAAAAATGTATATTATCTGTGTGGAAAAACGCAATATCATTCCCTATTTATAAATGAGGAAACCTTGGCCTCCAAGGTTTCCTTTTTAGGGTTTTTTCCCCCCTCAAGCCATTGTGTGTATTGGGCCTTTTATAACCCTGGGCTCGATTTACCACGAGCCAATACTGGGCCTGCGAGCCGAAGTTCCGCAGTTCGTCGTTGAGGTCGTACGACCTAATGGTCTTTTTATATCATTGGGCTGAATTGCCATGGGCCTTTTGTCGTGGGCCTAATTCGTATTGGATCTTTCCAGAATGGCCCGTATCAACTACTCCCCCCTACTCCTTAATTATCGGGCGAGATAAAACTTCTGTTTTGTCCCGTTCGATGAATATGGAGTATGGAGTGCGAGGTAACAGTTCGTTTTTAGCGTTTAATCTTTGATGGGGAAGCGTGCTCTACCGCCTTCTGCTGTCCTATCAATCAATGCAGTCGATTCGAGTTCCCTAGGTCATAATGAGGGAATTTCAATTGGTGCTTTCCGCGCCGAATTCGAGGCGGCCTGCTTTTGATCTCGTTCGTCCGAATGAGTGGTTGAGATCTAATTTCCTCTTATCTCTTTCCCTATAAATACCTCATTAACCCAACTTGTAAAAGTTTTTTCTTTTTGCCTACACGTCTTTCCTCCTGCTTGATTTCTGGTGATTCCATTTTCTGAGACAGAGCTTTCCTCCCTCAAGCCCACTCTTTCTCTCTAGCCAAGGTATTACTTCTCTTCCCCATCTTTTATTACCTCCATCTTATTCTTCAATTCGATAATGTCAGCCCATTCCCCTGACCCTTTTGGCCAAAAAGCGCCTTCCGGGGAGGGGGGTGAAAACCCTGCTTTTTCTATCTCTTCTTCGTCGGAGGAGGGGCCTTACTTCTCCCCTTCGGGTAAACTCTTGGAACGACCCAAGAAGAAGGGCAGGAAAGAGGTTTCTTCTTCTGCGAGGAGTGGTTCGCCCTCCGTATCTGGGGGGAGGGATTTAGATGACCAATGGGGGCCCAGTACCCTGACCGACATAGATCTGGCTAACTTAGTCCGCGACATAGGCCTCTCCACCGATGTCGAGTTGATTCTTCCTTCGCGAGATGACCGTCCTTTAACTCCCCCCTTAGGTTTCAGTACTTGGTTTTCAGAGCAGTTTTATTTCGGTCTATCCTTCCCTATCTCGCCTTGGTTTTCTGAAATTGCCCAGCTATGTAATGTGTCCCTTAATCAATTCCACCCTCACGCTATAATAATTATGACGGGATTCCGTATGCTATGTGCTTGGTCGGGGGTGATTCCTACACCAGCTCGATTCCGAAGTGTCATGGTATTGAAAAATTCCAGTCCTTTCCATGTTTCTATCTCGGCTCGTCCGGGTTTTAAAATTCTGATGCCACCTAATAAAACCGATGGGTGGCAAGGTCATTATTTCTTTGCCAGAAATCCTGTTGACACGCCCTATTTATGTCCTTGGCTCGCCACCCTACCTGAAAAGAAAAGAGGTAAACCTTTGGCGGTTGACGAATGTTTATTAAAAATGATATCCCATTTTCAACCGAGTCACGGCGTCCCGGATAGCCTCACCAGCTTTCCGCCGATGCTCCGCCACTTCCGTTTTCACGACAACGGCACATATTCTCTAACTCGAGAAGATTTAGGTGGGTTCGGTTATAACACTAATTCTTACTTCGACTCACTGTCTCACTTGGGTCGGTTTGTCTTTTGTTGCTTCGCTAATTATGTACTTGAATGTCTCGTATCTCACCCACGTATCTCCCCTTGCCCGTTTGTTTTGGTTCGTAGATCTAAGGATGAAGAGGATGTTCCGAGGTGACAAGCCGGCTACCCGTCCGTCCGATCCGGAACCTGGGTTCGAGGCGTCTGAGTTTCAGCGTCCTCTAATCGCCGAATCCGAGAAAAGATCCTCGGAGGAAGGGGCTCTAAGGCCCAGGCCATCGAAGAAAAACGCCGCTCCTCCTCGCGCCCGCGGTGGACCTGCTTCGCGAACTGAGGATTCTGAGCCTCTTAAACAATCCTCTGCGATAGTTCTCGCCCAGTCACCGCCTCCTTCCTCGACCGAAGAGGTGGTAGAGAGAGAACCTGCTCCGAAGAAACGGAGATCTGAGCTGGCCCTTGGGGCGGCTGGGTCAGCTTTACCGGCCGACTTTGGACTATACCTCTGCCGGAATGCTGAAAACGCCATTGCTGCGTGCCGGTCCTTGGCATTCCCCACCGATGTCGCCCATTTCGGGCAAATGAGTAAGGGCGACCGACTTGAGTTGCTTCTCCATAACATTACACAGGTTTGTTTCACTCTGTCTTTGTGAATCAATCTTTGCCATTGCATCTTGTATTTAAGATTAACTCTATTTAACCTCTTTGTGGGTGCAGCAATTCGCCATCGCCTTTTCGGGTCCTTTGGGGTGGGACGATGTGTCACGCGAGGCGTATGATAATCAGAGGAAAGAGGTGATGCAGCTCCGGAAGGAAGTCCGGGGTTTAAAGGAGAGCCTGGGGATGTCGGAGTCTTCGAAGGAGGGGCTGTTTGCCGAAGTGAAGAGGCTGAAAGAGAGAGAAAAAATCCTTGAAGCTGAAAAAGACTCCCTTGCATCCCACAATGCCAGTTTGGAGGAGAAAGCTAAGGGGCTTTCCAACGAGCTGTTCGCAGCTGGAGTACAAGCTTCCACCAATTTCACCGAAGGGGTGAAAGAGGGGCAAAGGTTGTTCCCGGGGTCGCCCGAGGGTCTTCGCTTCATCGAGGAGTTTGTTCGCCGCTTCTTTCACCGATTATGGCGTTCCACCACTTTTACTCGAGAAGCTTCAGGTTTAGCTCGTTTCTTCTTTTCGTCAGCGGTTGCGGCTGTTCGGAAGAGGTTAGGCGGTGCCGGCATCGAGTTCCCGTTGGTGGAAAACGAACTGGCGGAGGACCTCCCCGACGACGTGATTCCGGGTTTTGAGGGGGATGTAAATGAGGATCCCAACTTAGAGTGGTGGAGGCCGGTTTATCAAGGCCTTGTTGAAGAATTCTCCCGTCAAGGGGCTATCACCGACTTTGCCGGAGATATTGGGGCCCTTGGAACGGCGGTTAGTTCCGAAGAGGCACAGCCAGGCCTCGTTTCGCCGCCCCCTCCGGATGCTGAGAATCGGAGTGAAGCAGACACGGCCATCCCGAAGTGAAGACTATGAAGAAAACTTAACCTTTTTCTGTTTTGTATTCTGAATATGTATCTTTTTTAAACATTATATTTTTTACTCCCTTTTTGCCATGTATCCTTAGCAATTCCTCCGTTTTTCCATATGTTCAGAAGCGTCTTTATTCGTTTTTCAAATTCGTGCTTCGAGCTTTGATATTCGTCTTGTCTTGACTTCAAGTTCAATTCATGGTTCCATATCTCAGATCATTCTCATTTGTGCTTATCCTCTAAGCTTATCAGTTAACTTGATCTCAGAAAACTGTTTTTATATTTCAACTTGATGCTTGACCTCATCATCTCGCTTATGAATACGCGACTTAGCGCTGCAACAGAAAACACAAACCATTGTCACACTAAAACATGCTTTTTACTTACTTTAGTAAAACACGCGATTTAACGTCATAGTGAAACACGCGTTTTAACGCCACAGTGAAACACGCGAGTTAACGCCACAATGAAACACGCGAGTTAACGCCATAATAAAACACGCGAGTTAACGCCACAATGAAACACGCGAGTTAACGCCACAGTGAAACACGCGAGTTAACGCCACAATGAAACACGCGAGTTAACGCCACAGTGAAACACGCGAGTTAACGCCACAATAAAACACGCGAGTTAACGCCACAGTGAAACACGCGAGTTAACGCCACAATGAAACACGCGAGTTAACGCCACAGTGAAACACGCGAGTTAACGCCACAATGAAACACGCGAGTTAACGCCACAATGAAACACGCGAGTTAACGCCACAGTAAAACACGCGAGTTAACGCCACAATGATACACGCGAGTTAACGCCACAATGAAACACGCGAGTTAACGCCACAATAAAACACGCGAGTTAACGCCACAATGAAACACGCGAGTTAACGCCACAATGAAACACGCGAGTTAACGCCACAATGATACACGCGAGTTAACGCCACAATGATACACGCGAGTTAACGCCACAATGAAACACGCGAGTTAACGCCACAATGATACACGCGAGTTAACGCCACAGTTATAACTTAAGTAAATAACACAAGTACTTTTTTAACGTGGAAACCCTCCAAATAAGGAGAGAAAAAAGCACGGGGCCTAGCCCAGATCGGAAAATGGATGTCTATTAATGGTTGTTTTGTCTGTACAAGGTGTGTCTCGATTTTGCTGGCGTAATTGCCTCGATTTCCTTTATCTCTCTCTTTTTTTTTTTTCCTTATTTCTATTTTCGATTTATGTCTATGTTTCTATTTTGACGCGAAGACGCGTTTCAGATGACGTTTCAAAA